GAAACACTCAACATTTCCAAAAAAACCTTAAGTAACTGTGAAATAATACATAGAAAATAACACCCGTTAACTGCTTTTTAGTAACGGCGTGGTCCATTAAACCCTGAAACCTCGAGTCTCGCTCCGTGTTTATCCAATAACTCCGGTCGTAATTCAACGCGACAAAATTAAATTTGCAAGCCACTGCTCACAAAAAGCTGCTGGACTAAGTTTCACATGACCACCGGCGCGGAGCATTTTATTAAACAACTTCCCGTGACGTCATACATGCGCGGCTGGCTGCCTACCGTAGGTATATAAGTGCGTAGTTTACTTTAGCATAATGCTTAAACTTTATCTGTTATAAAATGTCTTCTTACAAGGACTTGAGTTCTTGATTTTCCTCGCTTACTTATTGTTTTTATTAAATAGCAATGACAGTATTATTTATAAATTTATTTATTTTTAATTTATTATGTAAAACTATGTGCTTTAGTTTTGATTGTGTATTATTATTATTATTTCAATTCAGTAATGATTATAATTTATTTATTTTTGTTATTATTGTTTGAATTTAATAATGATTGTCAGAATAGTTAATTGACGAGTTGTGATACAACTATTTAAATTAAAAATAAGATGGGATAAATTGCAACTGTAATTTTTAATATGGTTATTGTGCCTGAAATAAATTTAGTATTAATATTAGACGGTTTAACAAATGTTTATTTATCAATTTCTTACGTACCTTTATACCCCGTGGTTAGGTTGCGGACAGGGTGGATGTACATATTTTAGGATTCCGAACCCAAAGTGTAGCAACTCAACCATGTTGTTAACATACGTTGCCCATTCGTCCGCTTGTCAGCGGGTTGTATCATAAACAAAACCCCTAGGTACCACATAATAAATATTTCTTCGCAGGACGCCAGTATGATTGTTCAATGTGAAACATTGAAGCAAAGAAAAGCGTCAAAATAAGTAATGGTACAATTCCGCAATGGGCTGCAGGCGACAACCGCACGGGACACTGAGGCTAGCGCCTGTGGCTGACTATGCATTGTGCAGCCGCGGCATGTCGCCGCGTTCAGAATCAATTTCATAGGAAACTAGTAGTATCGCCTGCAGTCTGCAGCTGCGGCCTACGGTCTGCGGTTCAGTTCGGACTTGTACCTTAAGTAGTGTTTTTAAATATTTGATAAGTAATGAAGTCGATACAGCAGAGTAGAGAGCGTGTCGTGCCTCTACCATTGTAAGCGTCGCTGCTCAACAGCTAACTCCCCTACCACCGCTATAGAAATACACATCAAAAACTTCACATTAGTTAGTTATTTATCCTTTTGAAGGTGTTAAGTGATGAGCCGCCTGTTCATGTTGCTAAGTGAAGGCCAAAACCAATGTATATGTCGTGGCCATATCGTAGATTTGATCACTTCATGAAATGCTCGAGAATTTCATGAAATGGTCACATTTCATGATGTGGCCAACTTAATTTGACCAGATCATTAAATCGTCAACATTTAACGATTTGGTCATCCACATTTTGCCGGATCGTATAATTAGGGTGTCCATAAAATATTTATTAAAAATCTAGAATATGTAAGAACTTGTTTATTGTTATTTAAGTCCGAATGGCACAAACAAAAATCAAATTTTTGTAACAAAATAAACAAATTAAAGATTTTTTTCCTAAATTGAACATCAAACATGTCAAAAACTTACACATTTATATTTAGAAAACTATCAAATATTTAGAAATAATAAGGTACTTTGGTACATATTACAATAGTAGACTTAACTGTTCTTCCAGGGCCCAAACGGTAATACTTCACACTAAGTTAGGTTAGGTTAGTGTTGTGACCATGACGCGCGAGCGGAGCGAGCAAAGCGAGCGTGCCGCGGCAGCGGCCGGCGAAAAAAAATTCTATTAAAAGAGACCTTTTCTACAAAAGAAATTCAAGTATCACCTGTTGGGCCCTGGAAGTACAGTTTTCTCTCATCCGCACTTTGTACCTCAACCGCAGTTTCCAAAATGTCATATTTTGACAGCCAGTAATAGTCTCAATCAAATAATTTTTGCCATTTCATGAAGTAGCCACGCGTTTAGTTGGCCATATCGTGAAACGATTTATCATCATTGATCTGCCCAAACCACATCATGATTTGGCCAATAGATAGTGAAACATTTCATGAAATGCGACCATTTCATAAAATTCTCGAGCATTTCATGAAGTGATCAAATCTACGATATGGCCACGACATATACACATCACATTTGTCTTACCTTGCCATCACTCTGAATGTTGCTTGCCTAATTTGCCGTGTTAGTGTCGCCGCACACCGGCCGCACGCCACAGCCACAAACGCAAATTTATATGGGAGAGCAAAATATATAAAGTGCATGCCTGCCTAGATAGATGAATTCAACAAGACTGAAGTGGTGTGATACGCCTGTATCTCTTGAAGTGCCTACTTCATTTGGCTATTTGTGTTTGCTATTTGTGAATCTGACATCAGTCTTATAAATCATGATAAGAACAGACTGTTGTCAAGCTTAGAAATGCATATACGAATAGCCAAGTGAAATGCCGGCATGAAGCTAGCGAGCGAGCGCGAGCGTGGCGCAAAATCCCGCCATTGTAAAGACAAAAACATATTTACGTGTTGTTATTTTATTATAGTGTTATTGCGCCGCCGTTTAAGGATATTTTGTAAACGACATAAATCAATATTTTTGTATGGGGGTGTAGTACGTTTACTTTATAAATGTTCCCACAATTTTTAGGTTTCGCAGGAAACTCGAAATTCACGGTGTTGACGTAAATATATCACGTTTTCGTAGAAAATAGATCTCGGTATGGAGAACTTTTTCACATTGATATTCTAAAATACACTCTTTTTTCAATTGATGCACTGTATGCGTAAGTATTCAGTTTGGAAACTGTGTATGTGTAAGTGTGTGTAATCAAGGAATCATGTGTGTGGAATTTGTAGCGAGAGGCAGTGGCAACATTTAGAACAGAGCAGCGCAGGATACCTGCCTTACGAACATGAAACAAACACGCCGAGCGGACACCCACTCCGTACTCCTGCTTCGCAGCGCAGGCTGTAAAAGGAAGACCTCATTTGACGTAGCTTGTCAGCACTCGTTTTCGTATTTATGCCTCGCCAGCAACATTTGTCTCGGGTTGTCCATAGTAACTGCTAGCGCATCAAAGTATGGGCAGCTACACAAAGCTCATCTATATTGGCCACTTCCATTTGTCTCCTTCAAACTTCTCCAACGTTTAGCTTGACATTAGCACTTGCCTTTTATCAGTTTGCCGACGCTCACGTTGGGTTAAGTTCAGCCAACATGTATTTAGAGACATCCGGCTGAAAAGATAACTGATGCAGTAGGTACCTACTGGCTGCTGCACTATCTGACTCACTCTATTTTCGGTCTTCTAGTTGGCGTCGGTACCTAAATTGATGTAGTAATAACATAATGTTAAGTAATAAGCGGGTTGATTCTAAATCAATTATATATGATCGTTTTCTCAAAATCTAAACGGCTTCCTTGACTATAGATGCATAGCCAAAGCCTATCTTGTTCACACTGATTACTCCCGAGAGGTTTGAAGACGTTCGCTTTAGTTAGGTCTCTATTTGTGGTCTAAATTCATTAACGTAGTAAACCCGTTAATGAGTCATCCAATCAAAGGTCTATTGTGAAGGTTGATATCGGTCAACCTTTACCCGCACTTGTCCTCTATTGTGTCCTAACTAATAAGACAATGAAATTTAATATTATAGGTATCTATTATACTTCATTCCAGCCCCCGTAGCATGAGCACTACAATTTACATTATATCACGTTTTTTATAGCGTCTAACTATTTAACTCCATAGTAATTTGACACTTGAGCGTGATAAAAACGCGTTATATATCATATCACGGTGTTCATGCTAGGGAGGCTGATAACATTAAAAATAATTAAAAACTGTTAAATTACTTCATGGTTACTACAGATTACAAAATGGCTCTGTTGAAAAACACAAGGAAGCAAAGGTTTACCACCTGCATTGAAACGGTTATATATAATGCGACCAAACTAAAAGTAAGAAGGTTCAATGATGATTATTGATAATACAATCGCGCGAAATTTTAACGTTTTAATTTTACTGAATGGATCATCGTATCGCCGTGGTATCGCTTTCGCTTGTCATCAAGTAAGGAACATGTCTTCCTTGAAAACCTTGACATTCTCTTTGTGGTGATGCACATATATATTACGTCATTATAAATTGTGTGTCATTCCGTTGTAGTTATTCTTTTTTAAATTATGAAAAGAGTGATGCGTGTGAGTGCCCTAGTGACTATCAGATGGTAACCCTACTCTCAAGCCGTTAACAGAACCCACGGCAAAGTCGTGGTCCAAATTAAATGAAGCACTGTAGCTATTATCCTAAACAAAGTCCTCCTCACGCATTAGACAATTTTGTTTTTTATAATATTTACAAATATATAAAAAAGAAAGTTCGCCAAAGGGTTCAGCCTTATAATAATAATGCTTCATTTCTTCTCCACACAAAAAAATACAAACTTTATGAATTATATTATTTAAGACAAGATTGTGGTGAGACTGTTAGCTGAACTAGGCTTCATGCAGCCTGTATCTCAGAAGGCCAGTGATCCCCCTCTTTACAGTGATAAATAATAACAAAATTACATGTTCTGAAAAAAAAACTGTATGTTCACAATGTTGAAAAGACAACTTTAACAACAGAATGTAATCATTTATAAATTCATTCTTGTGTCGCGTTTGTAATTGTATGTGTGTGTGTGTGTGTGTGTGTGTGTGAATGCATGTGTAGAGAGTGTGTCATGATGTGCAAGGATACAGTAGATCTTCAGTCTTGCTCGAATTTTAACATCCTTTTTATAAAACTATAATTCCTTCAGCTGTGCCTCAAAAATTTTTCTTTAGAGGCATTGTTTGAAGGTGAAAAAATCAAAAGTACCTTAATATGTAATAAATTCTTTTATAAATAGGTTTTATGATACAATTTTTAATTATATAGATAATACTCCTGCATAAGGACAGTTTTGCATAACTCACATTAAAAAGTATGTTCTTCATAAAATGATGAAAAAATTTATACCTTAAAAATATTTATTTACAATAACATATTGATACAACAGAATTATTATTGTCTTAAATAGCAATATATCTTACAGGTAAATCATTGCTCATGTTTCTATAGAATAAGCCATTCATGCCCACTCGTGGGTTGAAATGTCTCCTCAAAGCTTCCCTCACTTCTGCCACTGTAATTGCTGGGACTCCCTCATAGCCAGACTTTATATACACAGCATTGTTCAAGCTCACAGGATTACAAAAATGACCACCTTCAAATTTACTAAATGGATCACCGCTTTTCTTTTTAGCGTCTTGACGAATAAGAAAAACAGCATCAACAATCTCAGCTACAGTTTCATAGGCCAAGAAACACAACACTTCCAATGCTTGCACAGTTATTATCAAATCCTTATTAGGATTGATCCACTTTTCCAATTTGTTGAAACCTCTACAAAGACCTGCCCCGGAACGGAATGAGCTACACCTAGCTTTGTGATATGCTTCATACTTCTCAAAGGTCATTGATTCTGTTATTTTTGCAGCCCTCACCTTTCTCAAATAATCAATAACGTCCAGTTTTATCTCACTAACTTCATCACTTTCATCTAGCTCCTTTATGACAGCAATGTGTGTTCTCCTTTTCTTCACAGTAGGATCTTTCTCGTCTTCTAACATAATGCCAGGCATTATAGGATCAGTGTCTGTAGTAAGTGCAGATCGATTTTTATCTATTTTGTCCAATTTTATTTGATACTCATACAACCTTTTCAGTTTTAATGTATTCTTTCGCATAAGGTATATGACATCATAATTGGATATAGCCTTGCCTCCTCTCATGTTAGAATAGTTGAAGGCCTCCTGTAACATACTGCGAAGCTGCTGCAGTACAATATTCTCTACTAACAACACAGTAGCAGCGTTCGGATTGGGGTTATCACCAAATCCGTGCATCATGTTCGATATCTCCTTTTGAAAGTTTGTCACCTCACCCGTAGCATCGATAGTGAAATATGAAACCATTTTGATATTAAAAAATAAAAATAACTTTGTAAAATACTCTAGGTGTGTACTTTTTTGTTTGGAATAAAATTATTTTTTGTTGTCAAACAAAATGAGCCAGATACAATCACAAAACTGACAAGACAATGGACAACTGTCAGCTGCCAGTGCCTGGCAGTCTGACATAGATATTTTTAATTCTCCCAATAAGAAAGTCAAAGGAAACTACCAACAAAATGCGAAGTATTCAGTATTAATTTAATTTACAAAGAAATTTATATTGATAAATCATTTCTTTATTGAACATTATTGTAAGCAGGCAATATTCCAATTCTAAATGAATCTCTGACAGAATTTAAACCAAGTATATGTCTGCCCATGGTATGTACAGACACTGAGTTTATCACTTCAATCAATCGTAAAAATATAAATATTCTGATATTCATACAGACTAATAAATATCAAAATAGTTAAAGGATAATCTATTTATTATCAAAACTTGGCTGTATAAATTTTGTTATTCTAGCTTTAGTATGAAAGGGAAAATTAAAAATACCAAAATCAGCTGATTGTCCCCCCCTCTTCTCCTCTTCTCTTCTTATATATCTGTCAATGTCAATGTTACGTTTATCGGTTGTAGTATTTTTCTACTATTTATTTTCTATATAATAAATAACTACATTTTGCCAGATGAACCCACAGCTGAGCACACAAAACCTGTATGTTTCTTCTCAATAAGTCATAGTTAGTTCTTCAACATAACAAAGATGAGTCTCAAAAATCTTATAATATTAAACACTGCAAGAAATTCATTATTTCATCAATTAAGATTCATGGCATGCTGGTCTTGTGGGAAAAACTTGAAATTAGTGTCTAATTTATTCTGTTTAAACTGTAATACTTTACAAAAACCTGATGCCCACTATAACTACTTTAAAATCATGGGAGTGAATGAAACATACGACCAAAACGAAACGGAACTAGCCAAGAAATATAGGGAATTGCAAAAATACCTTCATCCCGACAAATACGCAAACAAGTGAGTTCCATTCTTTAAATAGTAAATTTGTTTTACTGTAGACCGATGCTCTTTAAACATTGTTAACGAAAATATCTAAAATTTGTGAATTTTAACACTTACATAATACTTTAGAAAGCTAAGATAGCTAAAGTGCCTGATTCTTATCATATTTCAGAAACAAAGATGAGCAAGAGGTTTCAGAAATATACTCTTCATTAGTTAATGAAGCTTATAAAACACTACTGGAACCATTAGCAAGAGGCAAGTGAATCTTTTTAAAAATCCCTTTATATCTAATACGTTGTTTATTGTAAAGCACATGAAAAGTAACATTGATAAATCTAATACAGTAAAAGCTCCTTAATCACAGGCTATACATTCCAGAAACCGTGAATATGGTTTTATATAAATTCTGTCACAATTGTTTTAATCCGTGACTATTAAAAACGCGAATAATGGAAGAGTGAATAAGGAGCTTAGACTGTTTTTAAAAAAAAGAAGACTGATATTCTCTAATTAGGTAACACATTACCATTTATAGTGTATATTCTCAAATGTCAATTTCATCATATTTCAACATTAACTTGTATATTTATCAGTACCCCTAGTGTGAACCAATATCGTATTCGTATTGTTTGCGAGTCCGAAATGTCATTGTCAAATGTGTACTGATTTTTAGTTCTCTTTACGTACTTTGTGCCGCTGCTGTTCAAGTTTCTTTACAAAATTCGACATTGATATTTTGGTTTGGAAACTATTCAAATTCGATAATGGTTTGTGCTAGGGGTACAGTACTTTTTATAAAAATTGTACTAGTACTTATATACATTTTTTATAGTAATTAAGACTATTCAATGTTATTTAAAAAGCAGATAATACCTCTTATATTATTCTATTTATCCCTACTATAATATAAAAAAAATGTTTATTTCTCTGTAATGCTTTCAAGACTAAACTGCTGATACAAATTATGATTAATTAGAGATATTAGGTACAGAGATAGTTGGTTGCACCAATTATTTCAAGCAGAAGAAGTTGGGCATACCCGCTATTCAATTATATATTTGTCATGAGCAATTACAATTCCCATTTCAGGTATTTATATGCTGAAATTAAGAGGACAGGAAATGCCAGAAAATTCAGAAATTGGTGACCAAGCTTTTCTTATGGACATAATGGAGAAAAATGAAGAAGTAGAAAATGCTGAGACTGATGAAGAAATCATGAGGTTAAATAAAGAAAATAAAGCTATAATCAATGAATTACAGAAATCAATTTCTAGAGCATTCTTTGATGGAGATTTGAACACAGTTACTAAGTTATTAATAAGAATGAAATATTATACAAGCATAGATAATCAAATTCAGTCTATCATAAGGCGAAAGGGAATAATTCGGTGAATTGTTAAAAAATGTTCCGACAATATTAGTGAAACTTGACAATAGTGATTTATAATTTCTTGTTAATTGTATATGATTGTAAATAGTTTTCGTAGTAAGAACACACAGGTATATTATAAATAAATTGTTGTTTAAAAACATAAAGATGAATTGTTAAAAGTTTTGTTTTTCAAAGTAAACATTTTATAAAAAATATATATTATCATCAGCCTATTAATGTCCCCACTGCTGGGGCACAGGCCTTCCCTATGGATGGAATAGGAAGATTGGGCCATGACCCACCACGCGGGCCCAGTTCGGATTTGTGGGTGATAACGACTGCAGATGTAGCCGGGACCAACGGCTTAACTTGCCTTCCGAAGCACGGAGGAGCTCGAGATAGTAAATTTTTGGTCACCCATTCAATGACAGACCATTGCGAAAGTTGCTTAACTTCAACGATCGCAGCCGAACGCGCTAACCACTTGCGCCATCGAGCTCCAAAAATATATATTTTTTTATCATTCAATAACAATTCTCTAAATCATGCATTATAGAGTATAGAAGAACATGAATAATGGAAATTCCAAATTTTTCTTAATAGGATAGTATACTATTATATGATGTCAAATATTAACAACCTCCCTCCCGCCCGTAGACGCGTTATAATCTGTCGATAATATTGTATGCATAAATGCGATATTTCGTCATGCTTCTGTTGCGTCGTTATTATCGCAGCAGGTGTCACTTCGTAACTGTTCTCATACATTATGTACTAAAAACACGCATCCAATATTTATCGATAATAACGCGCCTATGGGAGGGGGGGGGGGAGGCAAAATAGACAACCACTAGGAGATGTCAGGAACTTTTTAGAATTTTACTCATTTTTAAAAATGGAGTGGACGCTTAAAGAATACCGTGTTGCAGTTATTGCGTTGCATCGTTGCGGTTACGCGCCAATTCCAATTTTTGACATACTGAAAAATTTTAATATAACCAAAAGATTCGTTTATCGTACCATCAAACGATACAATGAAGACTAGTGTAGATGACAGGTCAAGAAGTGGTCGCCCTCGGTCTGTTATGTCTCCAGCAGTGATAAAAGCTGTGAAGGCGCGAATTCAAAGAAATCCCAAACGTAAGCAGAAACTGTTGGCCCTTCAGATGGGGTTAAGCAGAACCACGGTGAAAAGGATATTAAATGAAGACTTGTGGCTTCGGGCATATCGAAGAAAAACAGGACATCGTTTGAATGCTCGTCTAATGGACTTGAGACTGAAGAGATGCCGCGCTTTGTTGAAGCGGTACGCGGGAAAAAAATATCGGGAAATACTTTTTTCGGATGAAAAAAAATTTTACCGTAGAAGATAGTAGTGAACAAGCGAGCAACCGTATTCCGCGTGTCCAACAAGGTCATTTTCCATCCTCGCTCATGGTATGGTTGGGAGTTTCTTATTGGGACGAATGCAGTTGTGTATCAAAATAAAAGCCTGATGAACCTTGTGGAACCTGTTTCTCATACCATGTTCAATAACAGGCACTGGGTATTCCAACAAGATTCGGCGCCAGCTCATAGAGCGAAGAGCACACAAGACTGGCTGGCGGCGCGTGAAATCCACTTCATCCGGCACGAAGACTGGCCCTCTTCCAGTCCAGATTTGAGTCCGTTAGATTACAAGATATGGCAACACTTGGAGGAAAAGGCGTGCTCAAAGCCACATCCCAATTTGGAGTCACTCAAGACATCCTTAATTAAGGCAGCCGCCGATATTGACATGGACCTCGTTCGTGCTGCGATAGACGACTGGCCGCGCAGATTGAAGGCCTGTATTCAAAATCACGGAGGTCATTTTGAATAAACTTTATTGTCATAAGAATCTATGTTTTGTTAAGTTCATTTTGGTATATAAATGGTTACATAATGAATAAATTTGTTTCAATTATTTTATATTAAACATGTGACAGAATTTATGACCTGACTAGGTATTTAAAGGAACCAACTCTATTAATTTCATTCTGTATTAGTCAAAAAGAGATGAACGCTTGGTCTTTTGCAGGATTCTGCTTCATGGCTAACGCTATTTTATTTTCATCTACCTGTACGTAGTATACATAAATCTTGTTTGAGCTGACTACAGTACCCTTAGTACGAGTTTGAGCTCACGAAAACTATCATAGTTTTCGTAATTGTAAATTATGTTTCTATATCCATTTTGGTGAAAATTAACCAAACATAAGTACTTAAAATTTATGAAGATGCAAATGATTTAATGATAGAATTTTAACACTGTTTATTTGTATTGAAATGAAAACAATAAAATCAGTACCCTTAGTACGAGTGCGAGCTCACGAAAACTGTCATAGTTTTCGTAATTGAAATCTCTTACTAAAGGTACAGACTGATGTAGGATAGTGAGCAAAGAGATTTGAATAATAGTGACTGACGAGGACAGCAAAGGAAATGGCTGTTAGGGGAAAAGTTTATATTATTAAATACAAATATTACAGAAATAAAAGGAAAAGACAGTAAGTAAAGGCAGTTATAAAAGAAGCAGACAAGTGACAAGAATCGAGTTAGGACGGCGTGGCATAGATAAGTGATAAGTGTTAATATAGATATTTACAATCAAAGAGTCTGTCTTCGACAGTTACAGTTAATTTTAATACGGTTTGGCAACCTTCGGTAATAGGTAATTGGAAGCTAGTCGTGCCCACGTATTATTAAAG